TCTGATATCTGGTGCAACCATAAATCGCCTTTCAACAAAGTGTCAACCTATTGATGTTGCATGCTGAGTCAACATTTACATTGTGGAGAGGGAAGCTTTTACTGATACAACTCATCTATAACATCATGTAGCCCAATTAGAAGATGAAAATGTTGTATTAGATTTATTGATCTTGTTAATTTGATTGCTACATGTGTGAGTGAGTGCTTGTGCTTGTGCGCATGCGGTTTTTTTTTTTTTTTTGCTGTGTGTGTTTACTTGTGCATGTGTTAAGAAGTTTTGCATGAACTTTTTAATCGAGGAGGAGATTTTGATGATAAATAATTGAAGGAGAAAAACCGAGGGGGATGATAATCTGATTAGTTGTTGGAGACAGATGTGAAAGATGAGAATTCATATTCACCCGTCACAAATCAACACTAAGAGAACCTGCAAGGTAGAGGAGAGATTTACAGGATATTTCTTAATTGTAATTTCAAGAGAAAAAAATGCATGATAATTTAATCATGACAACTAATTTAAGTTTAAACCCAAGCTTATCCAAAAAAATAATAATTCATCCTAATTTAAATTTATACAAATCTTATAAAAAAAATTCCCTTTATTTTTTTTTATTTTGGCTCAATCTAGATTTTGTTGTACATATGATGCTTGACATAGGTTCATGTTTTGCATCAATATCCCTTAACAAATGAATTTGCTCCAAAAAGTCAAAATTGTGGTGCTCTTGTACTATATGTTTTGACCATATTCCTCATCTCATCATATTTTATCCTTAACCAGCGGTTGTTTCTTTTAGCAAACCAAATATTTTTAAACTCTAGAAGTATATGTGGCGATTTCATTAGTAATAATCTTGTATGCTTGGCGAATTGGTGTAATAGTGGCAGATAGAAGCACAGAGAAACAAACACTTAAAGAAAGCTACTCGTAGTACAAAAGTCCTGAAGGTGCCTCCATAATTCACTAGATCTTTAAAGTTTAATGCTAAAAAATGAAAATTTTGAGGCAAATTAATCAAATCACCCTTTGAATTTAATTTTCCAAGAATTTTATGTGCGCAAGGTGAGCTTGCATGATGTTTTTTAAATGTATTTTGCTAAATTGCTCTTAACTCATTTTTAACAAGTACAAAATCAGCAATTTTTTATTTTATTTTATTTTTTGTTTTATTCCATAAATACTGGTGATGCCTTTATATTTTCATTTTACATCATAATATGTAATTTAATATTAGCTTTAAGTTTATGTATATTCTCAACAAAATATGCACCTAGCTTGATAATAATATGTTTGCAATGGTAATTTTCTTAAGGACGAGTACAATAAATATGTCTCAAAAGTGATTTCTTAATATTGTGGTGAACATAACTACTTTAAGCAAACTCTGTAGTACAAAGCATTAGATCTTATGTGCCTCAGTAATCAACAAATAAACATCCCCCTAAATTGCCTAAATGTTGATTATAATTTATTTTATCCTTTAGATGGAAGTTTGAAGAAAATTTTAAATTACCAAATTTGATAATTTAGGCACCTTACAATTTCTTTGAAATATAATTCTACCGTGTGTAAAGGATCAATAATTTTTTGAGCTGGGAGTAGAACAATTTATGGAGCATATGCTGAACTGATTATGTATTATATGAAAAATTGTGGAGATTGGTTTCCAATGGGTAGAAGTCTACCAATTATTTGGCAGTGAGGAAATTAAGCATGTGGTGACTGCTGTGAGAAGCAGCAGCCAAGGTAACAAGGGAGGGATTTGATGGATATATTTTGAATTATAATTACACGATAAAGAAAATACATCCATAATAAGTGAAATGAAAATAAATTTAATAAATGCAATATTTATTTCCGTGATGCAGTTTTATTCAATATAGTTTTGGGTCAAATTATCAATGTATAGAAATAGGGACTCAATCAAAATACAAAATTTAATTTATGGAAATTGAAATCTTATCTTAATAACCAATTGAAATTTATACTCAATATTATTTAAACTGACAATTCTTCTTAAGTTAAATTAAAATATATCTAATAAATGAAATATAATTTATTTTTATGAACTGGCTTTGTCCATTCTAGATTTGACTCTAATAATAATTTTTAATTTGGGATCATGTGCCACTTCACTTTATCTTAATTGTGCCATTGTTTAGCATCTACCGGTTGATAAAGGTTCTACTTTTTTTTTTTCAAGATTTGACTCTAATAATAATTTTTAATTTGGGATCTTGTGCCACTTCACTTTATCTTAATTGTGCCATTATTTAGCATCTACCGGTTGATAAAGGTTCTAATTTTTTTTTTTTTCGAGGAATTAGTTGGAGTTTAATTTAATTGAAATTATAGTATAATTTTTCTTGGAAATTTGGTAAAATATATGTATTTCACTTGCTTTTCTCGGTTTAGCACCAACAAGGTGAGGAATTGCCTTTTCAAGCTTGTTAGTTCAGTGCAAATAGATTTATATTATGAGTGCATGCACCCTTGCTACTCCAGGATCTACCAGTGAAATAATCCTATAGGCGAAATCAATTCTGTATGCTGTTCTTTGTGTGTTGGCTACGCTGCGGTTAGGTTTAGTTTTATTTCCAATCTGTAGCAATTGGTCACTGGGTTTGATATAACCGAAAGAATAAAAAAATGATTTCACTCTGTAAGATGGAAAGGAAATGGGAGAGGGAGAGAGAATCTTTGCAGAGGTGGAGTGGTACGGGATGGGATGAGCTTGGATCTTCTCTCCTTGCCTCATAAGCCTCCTTTACTAGTTTGTAGCTTGGATCATACTGTGACTGTCCGAAACTCACATATGCATTGTTCTTAGATGGTCAACAAATTTTCCACTGAAAAGCCGGGGAAAAAAACGACGAAAACGTTGCATTTCAGATTGCAACAGATGAAAAACCATTGTAAAGAGTAATCTCTGTTCTTTTTACTCTTTGATGGGCAAATAATCAAACTTAGGAGCTTATTTGTCTAGCATACTTTTGCCAGGTTTTATTCCAATTTCGTTTGTTTTGCACGTGTCTCTTTGACCAGAGTGATAAAGATATGTGTTTCTTTCGAGAAAATATTACATCCGGACTCCGGACGCAATTTGTCCTGAGTCCATGTCAAGTGGGCCCCACCACAATACATTGTCATTGGCTAGTGTTACAAGTGGTGGGCCCACTTGACACATGGCGTCCCACCATTGGACTCAAGACGCATCTGGAGTCCGGATGTAGTATTTTTTCGTTTCTTTGTGAGTCAGGAGATCATTAACTTGCAGTATTATTAGGGAATAAAAATGGTGAAGTGATTTCTTCAAACTGATATGATCAGTATTTATGATGTGAGTGCATGGCAACTTAGCTGAACCCGCTTATTGTTCAAACTGATATATGATCAGGCTTTCATTTATAAAATACATTAGAGGGATAATTGTATACATAAGATCCAAATCTTATGTATTTGCTGCACTAACATCTTTGTCAAATATCTAGAACTACTGGACTCTTATATTTACGCGTGCTTGCAAGAGTTTTGTAAATAGTAATGTTTTGAGAGCCATGCTTGTAATTGCCCAATTAGGATTCTTTGGCTGATATAAATTGTGCGCATACATCCACTAATCTCTATATCCTGAATGACAACAAACCTAAATCTATACTACACTATGATGATTAATTATCAACTACCGTGGATGAGCGCTGATAGTTTAGGGCCCACTTGACACGTGGCACCCCACCATTGGACTTCGGACGCATCTAGAGTCCGAATGTAGTATTTTTTCATTTCTTTGTGGGTCAGGAGATCATTAACTTGCAGTATTATTAGGGAATAAAAATGGTGAAGTGATTTCTTCAAACTGATATGATCAGTATTTATGATGTGAGTGCATGGCAACTTAGCCGAACCCGCTTATTGTTCAAACTGATATATGATCAGGCTTTCATTTATAGAATACATTAGAGGGATAATTGTATACATAAGACCCAAATCTTATGTATTTGCTGCACTAACATCTTTGTCAAATATGTAGAACTACTGGACTCTTATATTTACGCTTGCTCGATCAAACAGAAATATGGATGCAAGAGGTTCAAGTTTTGTAAATAGTAATGTTTTGAGTGCCATTCTTGTAATTGCTGCCATGCTTGTAATTGCCCAATTAGGATTCTTTGGCTGATATAAATTGTGCGCATACATCCACTAATCTCTATATCCTGAATGACAACAAACCTAAATCTATACTATACTATGATGATTAATTATCAACTCCCGTGGATGTAGCGCTGATATGATCTGCATTGGTGGTAGTTTGTTTTTGTATTTTATCGAGTAATCTAGTTGTAAATGTGTTGGAAATTCATTTTATTTTAGAATATATATATATATATGTATATAT